TTTGCAGTTGCATGTATGATACTTTCAGGTACAATACATTAAGTGACTTGCTAAGGCTGACTTCACTGTCCTATTGTGCGCACACTTAATGATGAACCAGGTTTGTCATTGGATAATGTGTGAAACTGTCCCAAGATGGGGAGCAAAAAAGGCAATTGTGCCAAGTGATAATCCTCTCACTGATAATCCCCTCGTTGAATACGATGGCAGCATAAAAATCTTTGTAAAGTTTATAAAAAAAAACAAACCAGAAATTTTTGTGGGTTTTTTAATTAAAGCCTCCCCCCAGCCTGCAGCACCCTTTCTGCAGCAAAATCAAATGTGTACTTTATCACAAAATACATTTAGCATGAAAATTTCAAACAGTCATGAGTCCAAAGAAAAAGGCAGGTGTTAAGCATAACAATTTATAGTAGTAACAAGCAAAGCAAGGATTACCTCAAGGGAAATTATCCAGCGGATGAGATAAACAACTAAGTCAAAGTACTGGGCTGGCTGTGAGTTAACAAACTGTATGCACAGCTCTTTGTAGATCAGGGAGCAGCAAGTGCAACACATAATAAATGGTTGGCTGTCATTACCGCCTTGTTCTGTGATTTGACTTATAGAAAAAAAAATCTCTAAATGTTATATGATCCCTCTAACCAATTAACGTCAATGCTGCAGTCCTATCCACATCTAACTGGGGAAAAAATCACATAGAAGTATTCCTAAATAAACACACATTGGATTGGGCTAAAACTTTGTTTAGCTTTCCATCATTCTTCTCAAATTAAAAATGTATTTTCAGTGGATGCTCAACAGGCTATAAACTGCACAAATGAACTATAAAAGTGGGACAGGTTCACTGCGCTAAGACTTACCATTTATAAAACATAGACACACTTTAGAGCATAGTTTCAGGTGCATGATTTATAAAATTATAATGTGAACAGGTGAGTACTGGCCTGCAGCTGGGATTGACCTGAGTATCTTCCTTGTCTCTCCAGGATCCCAGCCGAAAAGCAACAGAAGACTATGAATATATTTATTTATTTAAAATTCTACTTAAATTCTCCTTTCTCCTTAAAAATGACCCAAATTGACTTACATTGTTAAAAGATGATATTTAAAGCTAAACAATAAGTATACAAATATTAAAAAGGGGGAAAACAAATAACACTTTGAGAAATGGTAAACAGAAGCAATACTGTACTAAGGTAAAGGTAAGGGTCCCCCTTGACATTTTAGTCAGTCGTGTTCGACTCTAGGGGGCGGTCCTCACCCCCGTTTCCAAGCCGCAGAGCCAGCGTTTGTCCGAAGACAGTTTCCGTTGTCACATGGCCAGCGTGGCTATACACGGAACGCTGTTTACCTTCCCACCGAGGTGGTACCTATTTATCTACTCGCATTTGCATGCTTTGGAACTGCTAGGCTGGTGAGGAGCTGGGACAAAGTGACGGGAGCTCACTTCATCGCGTGGATTCGATCTTACGACTGCTGGTCTACTGACCCTGCAGCACATAAAGGCTTCTGTGGTTTAGCCCGCAGTGCCACCACGTCCCCTATACTGTACTAAAAACAGATTCAAATAAGGCATAACAGTCCCCTTATAAATGGGTTCCTTCTCCAGGCCACTACTAAGGAAGGGGTGTTGTTGACCCGTCACTGGGGTAAAGGGTACTTGAAGGTGGGAGGAGGAAAAAGACAGAAGAGTTATTGCACAAGAAAGTTCCCACCCAGCTGGGACTATCAAAGAGGAAGCTATCTGACCGCAGGGGAAACTTGTAAGGAAGAGAGAGAGAGAACTAAACAGAGGGAGTGTGGGAAGGACTGAGGTAGAGATGGAGAGTTCAACTGAGGTAGAGATGGAGAGTTCAACTGAGGTAGAGATGGAGAGTTCAACGGAGGCAGAAGAAAACAAGAGTGGAGCCAAGGAAGGGGCTGATGCGACTGAATGGGCAAGTGAAGCCAAAGGTCCACCAGTCTACATCTACTTAGCTGGACTCTCTAATTAGTGAGCCTTTCTTAGCTGAACTAATCCAAGGCAGCATGGGTTGAACGCCTTAGTTCATGTCGTAAAAATAGGAACCTGCCATAGGTCAACGGGAGTATCCAGTGAGACCCCCAACTTAGAGACTCTGAACACACTGAGGAGGTGAAGACATCAGAGACAGTTTGAGGGACTGTGCCAGACACCCAACAACTTTAAAGAAGGGAACATTATATTGTTAGCTATTCTCCTTTCTGTTTGTGCTTGAAGATTAGTGCCATGAAGAAGTAGAACCAGCCAGGTGTACTAAGGCACTGGACTATAGGGTGGAGAAGGACTGGGAGAAGTGCCCATGGGTCCAATGACTCCCCTCCCCTGTAAAATGTCTTACAAAAATGATTCACTGGTTGTAAATAATGTTGGATCTTCCTTATGATGACCAGCAAGTGTAGTGACCTACTCACTATCCATTTACGCATAGACAAACTAAGCACCCTTACACCTGGATATCAAATACTCATCTTTTAGAGCTATTAACAAAGGTAAGATTCATTCTTAAATAAGCTTACTCACCATACAGAACAAGACTGCTGTGCCGCCTTTACCAGGAAGATTAGCAATCCTAGAATGGCTGTGGACATCAAATATAGTCTGCTAGAACTAGACAAATGGTATCTTTGAGTGCATTCAAGCCATCTCAAATAGTAGAACTGTAAGAGGAAATCCAGTTGTATCTGTCTGCTGCCTGAACAGCATCTAGCAGCAGAGTGCACACCTCCCACAACATCAACAACCTTCTGTGCCTCCTGAAATCTGATCAGGATGTTGGTGGGATTAGGCTGCAGTGGGGACCAAAGAGGACAGAAAGCCTGATGGATGTAATCCATTGTTCATTTCAGAAGTTACTTCATAAATAAGCTATTTTTATGAACTGTTTGCACTGCTAACGCAGTGGGAAATAAAATTCTTCATTTTGGTGCAGGTGTAATATGAAGTATTTTATAGCTTGAACAAACAGATGTTGTTTGAAATGGCAGATGTGAGTGGCCCCCTCCTTTCTACAATCAGAAGGTGTTAAGCACTGAAGTAGTTGCTTGCCACTTCTGAACTGCTGGCCACTTTAAAGGAGATCAAGTGCCAGTAACATCATGGCCCAAACCAAGGCAAAAAGAAATGAAACATTCCAAATAATCCATGGTCTAGACTAGAATTCCCTGAGAAAGAAGTTTCCCCAGTGTGACAAGCAAATACATGAAACATTATTCCAATGCAGGAAGAAAATATTGCAATTTCACACTTTGATGCTATATGTAATAGTGGACAGAGAGCTAGACCTCACATAACGAGGCCATGAAGTTCATTGGATAGTACTGAGCAAATCACTCTCAATTAAGTATTCCTCACAGTGTTGGAAAATGGAAGCAAATAATAATAACTGTGTTGTCTTATTTTATAGTTTGTTCTAAGGTACTGAATGCCAAAGAGAGATGTGATTCACAAACGTAGCAGTATTATTAGTCCAACTAAATAATAAATAAATACAGAAATTCTTAGAACTGCAGAGCCAGAAAGGACCCTATGGATCATTGCGTCCAGTCCCTGCCATGGAGGCACAGTGGGGAATCAAACCTTATTGAATATTTAAAAGAGAATTAAGAGAGAAGAGGAAAATTCCCTGAAATATTGTTGCATCATCACAGTGGCAAATCGCTGCTGATTAAAAGCTTCCTTTGGGCATTTCAGAGAGCATGAGACTTCACTGCATTATGTACAAGTCATGGGCACTTCAAAACTGGTTTTACTCAGCAGTTATTTGCCACTACTGATGAAATCATCCCCATTATACATGTGCAAGGTACACAAGAGGATTTCAGCCAGCAACTAGTAATAGATATTTTTTTTCATTCTTCTATGGCAGCTGTATGTAATAAATTGATTTTATGTTTGTCTTTCTCAACTGCCCTCTTGTCAAAAAGCACTGAATCATATAAAAAGTGGAATATATCAGGCACTCTACCAACCTATTAACTGTCGTTAATACCATCAGTGTAACTGTAGAGAGCCAAAGTGTTATAAGGGTAAAAGTACTGGACTGGGACTTGAGTGATCTACGTTCTATTCCTCATTAAGCCATGCCACCCAAGGAAGAAGAATGTATTCTGCCTTGAGCTCACTGAAAGAAAGGGAATACATAACTTCAATGAAAACAAACAAACAAACGGAATCTTATTCCTTGTACCAACTGTCACATTTCAAACATGTAAGCCAAACAAGTCTTGGACCAGTCTGTGAAGGTTAATAGGAAATCCTACATAAACCACTTTAGAGTACTATCGTGGTGTTCACAGCTCGGGTAATAAATGACAAATGGATTCCATTTTCACTTATCTAATATAGATTCACATCTCTGAAATATTGCTTTGTGGACTTCTGCGCCATCAACACACTTCTGACTGATAGCAGCCCTGAATTAGTGACCTTTAAAAGAACCTCAACAGCCTTGAACAAGTCTTGTAAATTCAGAGTCAGTGCCTCACATGATTGCAACTTTCACAGGCTCTGAAACTTCTAAATCTTGTAAGCAAAGACTGCGCATAGGTTCTGTATAATACTAAAGGAAATTCCACATTTCTCACTCTTTTCCACTGCTACAGAGTACAAAGTGCTTCTCGATCGCGTGGACCTTTCCTCCACATGTGGATCAGAATCATGAATGTACACTCTGATGTACAGTTGGAGGAAGTGTCCAAATGAACAGCCAAATGACGATACATACTTGCAACACGTGCAATGACATTTCTATAACATGTTCCTATTAGGTTCGGACATTCATGTTTACTGTATCATTTCGATCAAACTGTGTACCACAACCGGTCGGGACCACAAACTTTTAACACCCAAATGCACATCCAAAGCTGCCTTGAGCCAAGGGTTAAGTTTCAAAACACCCAGCCACTGGGGGACTGGGGATGTAAGTAAGGTATTCGTGCCAGAACAGACAAGCACAACAGAAGACGACGTCTCCCACCTAGCTCCCTTCCTGTTATGACACACGGGGCCCGGGCAGTGGTGGGACGGTCCAATGCTCCTCTCCCCGCCTTTGGGGCCAAAGTGCCTGGGAGTGTCTCTCCGTTTCCTTCCTCACCAGTCTGTTGTAGGAACTGGTTGGTTGGAGGGAAAGGCGGTTCTTCTCCCGTTTCTTCCCCGGCTTCCGTCCCGGTTCCCAGGCTCTGGCACTCCGCCCTGGAAGGCGAGGGTCCCCGGCCTGCCATGAGGCTCCTAACGCAGCGCAGCGCCGCCCCGACCACAAGGGGCGCTCGTAGAAACCAGGGCTTCCGAGGAGCGCGAAACCCGACTGCGCCTGAGGGGAGGCGGCCGAAGGGAAGCGTTCGGAACGCCAGCCGAAGTCGTGGAACCATCCTCACAATGGCGGCGGCGCCTCCATCCTACTTGGGGGGGTCAAAGGACAGCTCCATCCAACTTTGGAACGCGGGGGCGGCGGCCGTGCGAAGAGAAGCGCCAGGCCTCAGCGGCAGGCGGAGTGGGAAACCACAGTTCCCATCATGCAATGCGAAGGCGGCTTCTGGGAGGGTTGAATGCAGGCGCTGAGCCTGCGACGCCATTTGCCGGCTGCCTCTTGAGTGTCGCTTTGCGCCCGATAGTGTTTTCTTGGAGTAGGGGGCCAAGCCTGGGGGCGAAGAATTGAGCTTCGCAGTTCTCTCCCCTCTTCCAGAGAAACAAGCGAGCAAGCGCTGGCGGCTGTCACGGGGGAGGGGCAACCGAGATTTTTGGGTTTGAGGCAGGCTGCTTGTTTTTTAGGATTGCTTGGTGGCACGGCGAACTTTTCTGCCCGACGTGCATGGGAATCCTTTGATCAGGTTCCAACAGTAATTTGTAGACACTTGCGACGAACATTTATTTGAAAAGACCGTGCACACATTGCGGATGAGCATACACGTGTGTTATATCCAGGAGAGGCGCCCTTCGTGGAAATGCTGAGACTAAATCTGCTTCAGCATGTATAACGAAAATAAAAGTATAATGGTGGTTCTTAAGGCTAATTTATTTTGATATGGACCTGGATTACAGTCGATTTCCTCAAGGGAATACAGTGTTTACGCCACGCGCTTATATAGGGAAGGTACGGTGGATGGTGACAGAGTTTGCAACAGCTTTAGTCTAGAGACAATGAATTGCTGTCAGGCTATTTAAAAACAAAAAACTAAAATTGGGTCCAATAGCTACATTAGAAACCTGAGAAGAGAGAGTTAATAAGGGAGTTGGAAAGAGTGGGGGCGAAAAGCTCTTCATATGGAACCAATTACAGTTTTGTATAAAGGATGTTCTTCTCTCTAGAGGACGAAAGCTAACTAATCGAAAAGATATCCGCCTGGAAATGCAGTTGGTTTAAATCTCAAGCAGCTAGCAGTGAATTTGGATAGTTTTTCTTCCTTTTTTACATATGAAGAGAAAGGAGTCACCAGTTGGATAGGGTTCGCAATTACTGTACTTAACGTGAGTTTGAACATGTTCCTGTTGAATATTTCTTTCTGCCCCTTTTTTTCTGAGTAGGAGTGTGGGTGGGGCAGAAATGCCTTAGATAGGTCTTCACCCTGGTCCAATTGCATCCCATTTGTTTGCAAGTTTTTTTATTTATTATTTTATTGAATTAGTTTACCTCACATTCAGTTGAATGAGCTTGTCAAAACAGTATTTCCTGAACTTTACTATATTTATTCAGAATAGAAGGATGGGTTTGGTATCCTGTTTACATTTTTAAAAACACACATCAATATTATACAGTACTCCAAAATACGGTAACATTTGGACCTGGACTGATAGGGTGTATCTTTCCACATCTGCCCACTGCTTTTTCAAAGCCAGATGTTTAACTAGACAGCCAAATTGCATAAGGCTAAAAAAGATTGCTTATGGTCGTATAGAGGTGTGGTATGCCATTTGGGGCAATCTTTGCAGCCACATGCAAGGATTGGGTGGTACACTTAAAGTTGCCCTATTTAGTCCATGCCTCCCTTTAAAGGAAAATAATGGAAGATCCTCTTCCAACATCTCCAGGCATAGACTGGAGAGAAGGCTGAAGCAGCTCTGCATTGCCCTCTGCCCACACATGTATAGTGGGGCCAGTGAGAAATTGTACATTCTGCCATTTGGCACTGCTGGAGAGGGAGGGATCCAGTGGACTGGGAAACTGCATGCAATGGGTGAATGCTACTATGGTCTTGTTCATCTGCTCCAGTCCCCTTACCATTAAGGAATTGTGAAGAGAGAGCAGGTGGTCATGCCAAACAATGCCTTTTCTCTGAAAAAAAGATTCCTTGTCCTCTCCTGTCTCCACCTTCATGGGACAGCAGGAAGAAGCATTTAAAAACTATTTTAAAGTGGCATAGCATTGAATTGATTTGCCAAGTAATCAGTTCGGCACTGGATTCAAACCAGAGCAGGTGGCTTAAAATGGCACTTGGCTTATGCCACTTCTTGATTAGGAAATTGAAAGCTTCCTCCTGCTCCCTCACAGACGGTGAAACAACTCACCTCCTCTTCTGTTTCTCCCTCTGTGGGGGAGTGGGAGGAAGTTTTCAATTTCCTAATAAGGAAGCAGCTTATTGCTTAAGCAAGGTGGAATCTTAAGCCAACTGCTTTGGTTTGATCCTAGCAATCACATATGCCAGAACCAAACCAAAATGAACCCTATGAACAATTTTTAAAAGGTTACCTTGAATGTATTTTCTCATAGTATGTCATTAGACTATATAATTCCTATTCTATAATAATGCATTTGAGCTATATCACATTTTAAATGAAAACTGTTGCATGGTTTTTACAACATAAATCATTTTAAACAATAAAAACAACATGAAAATATATATTTTTCCAAAACTATCATTGCTTTTTAATCAGGTTTTTTCTGCTCCATCTGGGACAAGAGGCATGATCAAACTGCAAACTGTTCCTTGCCACAGTTCCTTGAGGATCACTAGCCAATCAGTTACACAAGTAGATGTCAGCTTGTCTTTCAGTCCTTTGTAAAATGTTTCAAAGGGCTTTTGAGGAACACTTTCTCCCGAAACCCACCTGGCCTCCTCATTGGGAACCTCCAAAAAACTGTTTCCCCGAAAACAAGACCTAACCTGAAAATAAGCCCTAGTATGATTTTTCAGGATGCTCGTAATACAAGCCCTAACCCAAAAATAAGCCCCAGATAAGTGAAACCCTGATTTCCACCATTGTGCAGCAACCAGAAGAAGGTGATATGACTATATTTGAATAAATGTAGATTGTTGTACTTGAAATAAAAACCGATGTTTTGGGTTTTATTTATTATAATTGTATATTTTTTTGTTGTTAGCCGCTCAGAGTGGTATAAATATACCAGATGAGCGGGATATAAATCAAATAAAAAAATAAAAAACATCCCCTGAAAATAAGCCCTAATGCATTTTTGGAGCAAAAATTAATATAAGACCCTGTCTTATTTTTGGGGAAACATGGTGTTAAAAACATGGTTATTCAGATAGGCCTTCTCAGATCTTAAAACAACATGATACATTAGTGCCTCACTCATGTAATATCCAACCTACTGCCATGTTTTGATTTTAATTTTATTTTATTATGTTTTACTGTGTATTTTTACTGTTATTTGTTTAGTATTTTTAATATTTTATTTGGTATGTTGTTATATATCCTTGTCACTATGTTACTGTTATTGTTTACCTTGTTGTAAATTGCCCAGAGTAGCCTTGGTTGACAAATGAGTGGTATAAAAATCAAATAAATAAAATTTGTATAGTGGGTTACTGTCCCATTGAGGCTGCAATTTTATACATACAGTATTTAAATTGGTTTAAATCCTATTGTACTCACCTAGGATTATTTCTAAGCCATCACACTATTTTTTGCACTTAAGTTTAGATTTCACTGGGAAACAAATTCAGCTACTTTGATCTGGATCAACTTGGAATATGGGGAAAAAACCCAGTACAGTATAACCTGTGCTGTTCTTAATAAGCATAGGATGAAGCTTATTAGTGCAGTAGTGTTGTCAAACTTGGGTGGTACATGCAACAAGCCAAATCTCATTTCCCTGGGTCTTCTTTGCTTTATGATATGCATTATGACATGCATTTTTTCTCTCTTCCATCCACTGTCTGAGTGTTTAGTCAAACACCCTGCTACTGAGGATAAATTTCCCGTCCCTAAGGCTTGAATACAATGGATTCTATTGTCTGATTTCAGAGTAGATAATCTTATCTTTGTTTGGAAAAGAGGAGTGGTGAGGTATTCAATTGTTCTGCAACAGAGGCACATGACTTTGCAGATATGTAATCACCTTTGAGAGGGAGCATTTCTGTTTGCTCAAGACGATTTATCATTTTCTCAGGGCTCTCTAAGTCTTATGAGCCAAGAGACCGAGTAAAGTTCCAAATCAAGCCTTTCAAATTTCCAAGCTGTGTCTGTGAGGTTTCTTATGCCTCTAAGCACAAGGGCATATAACATACTGTTTAAATATAGGATTTTGACACGGCTCCAGGATGCCACATGGCATTGCTATGAGAAGCCAATGCAAGGCAGGAAACCACTTCAATGGGGATGTCTCTTGCGTTTTTGCCTTTTGGCCTTGCCAAAGAAAATACATCTCTAAGTAAAAGGATGCAAGTTGGAGAGGAACATGGCTCTAAGCTGTTCACTGAAGCGAGATGTCATGGAACACCTTCTTGGGCCCCAAAATTCTCAATGCATTTTGCAATGCAGCAATGAGTGGGGGAAAGTTCCTCCTTCTGCCTCCCATCAGCATATAAAAATCTGTAATCCAAAGTCCTTTGGATGGAAGCGGGCCAAGGTTTCGCATATGTTAAAACTAATCAACAGACGAAAATGGTGTATTGAGACATTTGAACGTTAAAAGAGGAATGTTAACAAATGGTGTGAGCTCAATGTACAGCAACTTCCTTTCCAACTAACAAAACCAGTGTTTGCATTTCTGTATGTGAAGGCACATCACCTGCTTCCACAAAAAGAATCAACAGAACTTTAATTGACTTCACTGGGATTTTTTATACAAATGAAGAATGTAGAATTGGATCCAAATATTTTGCCATTCCAGAGGGAAGAAATTTATATTTTCATGGATGAGCCCAACTTCACAAACAACTGCTACAACTTTAATTTGGGCACAAGACTATTTTTTAAAAATCCCCCCCTTTTTTTTCTTTTTCCTTTCTACCACCATTTTCCTTGTCAGCATCTCACTTCCAACTTTTCTTCCACCTGTAATTTCTCTTTTTGAGAACAACTTTTCCCCAAGACCAAGTTGTTGAACAGAGTCACCCTTGCATAATTCTGTCTTGTATTGATTGAAAGCTCATTCCCTGGTGTGTTTTTTTTGTTTTTGTTTTTATGTAGCAAAAACTGTACCTTCCACATGAACAACAGAAATATAAGCAGGTTTGGAAGAACCTCACATTTTGCAAAAACAGGGGTAAAATCTGATTGGGTGAGAAACATCAGTAGGGACTGAGCATGCTGAGCAGTTGTGGAATGTGTTGCTTACTGGGCAAAAAAAAATGGATAAGAGAAAAAGCAAAGCATGCTGATTATACAGTATACTGTCCCATAGCACTTAAAGCACTCTCTGGGCAGTTTAAAATTTAATTACATATTAAATTCTACACATTGTCCACCCCCCACCCTGACAAGCTGGGTACTCAGAAGGATGGAAGGCTGAGTGAATCTCACGGGACTGAAAGGTTTTGGGCAGAGTTTTGGCTGCAATGAGTGAATCTCAAGGGACTGAAAAGGTTTTGGGCAGAGTTTTGGCTGCAATACTACAGTTTAACCAGTGGTGGGATTCAGCAGGTTTGCACCAGTTCTACAGAACCGGTAGCTAATGTATTATTGGTTCTGCAGAACCGTTTGTTGGCCTGCTGAATCCCACCACTGAGTTTAACCACTGCATCATGAAGCTCATCC